GACGGGGTGATGAATGTGCATTTGGATATAATGATCAGTCCTGGAGTTTATATTGCTTTCCCTCCAGTTACTGCAGATACTCATTCTGTCACAATTACACAGAGACTGAGCTTCCTGGCGTCTCCAGCTCATGTAGAATAGGAGTGTATGTGGATCACAGTGCAGGAACTCTGTCCTTCTACAGCGTCTCTGACACAATGATCCTCATTCACAGAGTCCACACCACATTCACTCAGCCTCTCTATGCTGGGTTTAGAGTGTATGGATCAGCGAAACTGTGTGATATCACAAAATAGATGATACAAAGTCATATATTGCAGCGTGTGATATTATAAATAAAAATTTAAGTAAAAACCTTATCACATTAAGCTAATAATGTTTGTAATGTAAGGATGAAAGAATAACGACAATCTTTGTTGTAACCAATGGCACATATAATAATTGTAACTGTCACTAATGTACGCTGTAAATAAAAAATATGAGCGAACAAAAGGCCATCATGTCATTTATTTAGGCCTTTGGAATCTGAATATGACATCACAGTTATGAATTAACAACCTTGCAGTTGGAGATGTTGCTGTTCATTCTGTTTATGAATCATTGTGAATGAAAACAGATGGAAGTGTGATCAACTTCAATAAACATAAAAGCAGAGAAAGTTTAGCTTTTTTACTACATTTTTACTGAAGAGAAGTTGCAAATGACTAAAGATAGGTAGTAAAAAGTAAGAATAGTTGAATGAAAAAATGCAAATAATAAAATAATGAAAAAATGACACATACAATATTGAATTAAATTTTATTGTAAATACATTAAGATAATCACAGAGATGTAACAAAAACAGCATAAAACTAGATTCTTACCAATAAAAATGAATTTTCAATATAATTTAATGTCATCTTTAATTGTTAAGGAATTTTCATTTAAATTTTTTGGGGTAATTTTAAGTTATTAGACAATTATAATTTTTTGTTTACCATAATAATCTATCATTTAGGCCTCATTGTTATTTTTCTGTTAAAGGGGTCATATGACGTTGCTAAAAATAACACTATTTTGTGTATTTGGTGTAATGAAATGTGTTTATGCGGTTTAAGGTTCAAAAAACACATTATTTTCCATATAATGTACATTATTGTTTCTCCTCTATGCCCCGCCTCGATTTTTACAAAGCTCATCTTTCTAAAAAAGCGAGGTGTGCTGTGATTGGCCAGCTATCCAGTGCGTTGTGATTGGCCGAATGCCTCAAGCGTGTGACGGAAATGTTACGCCCCTACCATATTGTGATGCCGTCTCCCTGCAGGACAAGACAAAACCAAAAAAAAACATTACAAACGAGGCATTTGTTGCATCTGGACATAATTACTGATTATAATGACTTATACTGTCTTTTTACGTGTTGTGTCGTGTATCGTGCTGCGTAAACATAAAACCATGTCTGCATTTGTGATCGGAGAAA